CTCTTCCGAGCTTAGAAGTTGCTCCAGTCAGAAACACTTCTGTGACATCCTTAGGAATCTCGTTCAGAATAACCGCAGCAGTTAAGGTGTTTCCATGAACAACTCTAACTTTGAGGTTTGGGTGCTTGTTCACAAAGAGGGTCCCACCACCGTTGAGAGATTCATTCTGCGAATATGATAATATTCAAGAAAAATCAACGCAAAAAAAAAAAAAAGAAAAAAAAAAGAAAGTTCTGGTATAATTAATAGGAGTCTTCATGTCGTGGTCCCTGTTTAGGGATAAACGTGCTATTTTTGGATAATAAATATTTAAAAAAAAAAGGATAATAAGAAAGTTAGATAAAAAGATGTAGTAGCATATGCATGCGATGAAAATGCATTATAAGAGGTGCAAGCACTCATGGAGCCAGAAATTCATGTCAGCAAGGACTAACAATTGAAGAAAAATTTTAATGGGGTTATAAGATTCAGTTTTAAAATTTTAGTCGCGATATGTGTGTATATTAATGTTAATATAATACAAGTATTATCTGCATACGATTTTTAAAGTAAACGAGATAATTCCCCTGAAAAAATAAAATAGGAAATTTAATGCAATTGGCAAATAATTAAAGTTGGTATAGGAGATGAATTTTAGGACCAATAATGGCAAAGTTACATGTGCGGAGTGGGGAAGAAAAAAACGTTGGCAATCCACTTCTATCAAATATAGTGTAGACATCAAAGCAGTTGTCTAATTAATGGTGGTGTTCTTTTCTCTTGCCATTTTTACGTTACAAAATTTCATTTTATCCAACGATCCAATCAGAAGACTAATTGGAACTAATGTATCAATCATCTTCATAGCATTATCCATTAGAAACGAATTTTCTAGCAATCATAACTTCAATGGTCTCAATTAGTGGGCACACCTCCATTTCTTATAACTAATTATATATATATAGATAGAGAGAGAGAGAGAGAGAGAGAGAGAGAGAGGAAATAGAAGCGTCATTTAAAATCATTAATAGGGATTGAAATATTGTTTTCCTTCTTATCGATTTTTATTGCTTGACAGATAATGTTCCATTATTTGTTTTAACAATGCAATCCATTCACTTGCCCTTTATTTTTTTTCACAGACAAAATTCAGAATGATCCCCACTTTCGTACTCGGTTGGGAAAAAAAAAAGGCCTAGTTTATTGTCACATTATGGACATTAAAATTAAAATTAATACCCAAAAGAAAACGAATTAAAACATTAATCGTCAGAATATGTTGTTTTTGGATCAGAAATGAGTGATTCTTCAAAGGTTCATATGAATTGAATGTGATACATGTGATCTGAACCCAAACCCAAAGTCCCCAACTTTTATGTTCCAATAGTCATGCATGGCTCAAAATGAGGGGGAAAAAAAAAAGGAAGCTAAAGCCAAAACAAGGGATCCATTAAGTGGGGACATTGTCTTTCATGGCGCTTCTGAGTCTATTTTCATGTCATTTTACAAGATGTTAGCAAAATGGTAAGTTAATGAAGTATGAATCCTTAAATGCCAAGTTCATGGCATGCATGGACTGAATAAAAGAGAAAAACCATAAGCTTTTAGTTACTTCTAAGGTTTTCGCATATAAAAAAAAAATTCAAAATTTTGAATTCTATTTATTGAGGGGCGCAGTTACAATTTTCTAATTCAGTAAAGGCACACTTAAAATATTTTAAAATTCTACCTAAAATAAAAAAAAAATTAAAATCTTAAAAACGACATGTGCCCACTAAGACGTAACTTCCTCCGTCATTGTTGATGTAAAGAGCTAGTTCACAAAGTACACGCTATACAATCTCAAAATAGAAAATGCGTGAAAATCAAGAACTGATAATTAAGAAAACCTAGGCTTAAATCCCTTTTGGGTCAAATTATATGAACAATGCTACAAGTACCCGTAAAAGTGAAATTTCGGACCGGACCGGCCTTAAATGAGAGAGAGACGACTTAGTCTAGCTTAAAAGCCCGACCAGACTCAAAATTTTATAAAATATATATTTTTTTAAAAAATCTTTAAAAATAAGACATATAGACCGAGTCGAGCTAGCCTGGATTAAATTTTTGGACACACAATGATAGACTCGGGTCGGGCCAAATTCTAAAGTTCCGTTCATTTCACCGATTAGAGTTGAAAATTTTAATTTTATTACAATAAAAAACTCTAAAAAATAATCATATTTAACTGGTACCAATAAGATTGAACACTAATACAATGTGAGTATTATAATATGAGCTGTATATATATGAGACTTTTTTGTTGTTGTTGCGGTGTTTAACACCTATGGGTTTCGAAGGTTTTTTCTCAAAATACAGACGTTAGCATTTAGCACTGTTTTTACACTGACGGGCAGGGAAGTGCCAAGGGCCCACAACATACGCCAGGAAATTATTGGGTGTTGGAAGGGTTTCATTGGTCACATGGTTGCTTCAGTGGCTATGACTAGTCAGTTCACTAAGTGGATAAAAAACGGCAAATAACACCACGAAAGGCCAAAATGCAAATATTACGTGACACAAACGTAACAAGGAAAACAGTACCACGACATCAGTACCAACTGTATCTAAATTTTCAGAGATGGCAGAAACTCTAAAATCCTTATCAAAGTTTAAAGGTCTGCAATATCATTTATTGAACATGTTCTGAAATTTAATTAACTGACCCCCAAACAGCACCAATCGGATTTCAATAGAATAAAAGAAAAATGGAGGCTCGTTTATTTTACTGATTTGAGTTTAAAATTTGAGTTTTATTACAGTAAAAAATTTTTAGAAACAGTCACATCTAATTTTTTTGTTACAGTAAAAAGCTCTCACACATCATCATATCTTAACTCAAATTAAAAATTCAAATTAAAGACGACTTAGTCTAGCTTAAAAGCCCGACCAGACTCAAAATTTTATAAAATATATATTTTTTTAAAAAATCTTTAAAAATAAGACATATAGACCGAGTCGAGCTAGCCTGGATTAAATTTTTGGACACACAATGATAGACTCGGGTCGGGCCAAACTCTAAAGTCCCGTTCATTTCACCGATTAGAGTTGAAAATTTCAATTTTATTACAATAAAAAACTCTAAAAAACAATCATATTTAACTGGTACCAATAAGATTGAACACTAATACAATGTGAGTATTATAATATGAGCTGTATATATATGAGACTTTTTTGTTGTTGTTGCGGTGTTTAACACCTATGGGTTTCGAAGGTTTTTTCTCAAAATACAGACGTTAGCATTTAGCACTGTTTTTACACTGACGGGCAGGGAAGTGCCAAGGGCCCACAACATACGCTAGGAAATTATTGGGTGTTGGAAGGGTTTCATTGGTCACATGGTTGCTTCAGTGGCAATGACTAGTCAGTTCACTAAGTGGATAAAAAACGGCAAATAACACCACGAAAGGCCAAAATGCAAATATTACGTGACACAAACGTAACAAGGAAAACAGTACCACGACATCAGTACCAACTGTATCTAAATTTTCAGAGATGGCAGAAACTCTAAAATCCTTGTCAAAGTTTAAAGGTCTGCAATATCATTTATTGAACATGTTCTGAAATTTAATTAACTGACCCCCAAACAGCACCAATCGGATTTCAATAGAATAAAAGAAAAATGGAGACTTGTTTATTTCACTGATTTGAGTTTAGAATTCGAGTTTTATTACAGTAAAAATTTTTTAAAAACAGTCACATCTAATTTTTTTGTTACAGTAAAAAGCTCTCATACAACATCACATCTTAACTCGAATTAAAAACTCAAATTAACGAACTGAACGGACCTTAAAATCCCATCTAGAGTGAGCCCCACCTCTTGTGGGCCCCACAGTGCGATCTACTTTTTTGAGAATCCCCGCCAGGATGTTTAGCAATGCACGAATAAATTGGCTTTTTTGCACTAGACCCCTTAAGCTTTTCGTTTTTGGTAGATTGGTCCATGAATTTAAATTCTTAGCAATTAATCCCTTGAATTTCAAAACCGTTGCATTAATGATCATCGTTGCACGTGAGCCTTCTCTTATGGGCATGTTTGGTCTTTATTTTCTAATTAGGAATAAACCAAAGAAAACAAAATAAAACATTAATGACAAAAGCCCACGAATCACGACGTCTTCTTTATCTTTATTTTGCAGTCTGATGAGATGTTTTTAGAGAGGGGGAAAAAGGTGCGGTGAAGTCGGGAGGTGGGGGGGCGACACTAGAGTTTGGCAAAGAAGTGGGTGCAACGACGGGGACGTCACGATTTGGAACGCATGCAAGCTGTTGCGACTCCGTGGTTTGGCTGAGGAGTGGGCATGATGGCAATGACGACGATGATGTTGAGATTTGCAGTGGGAGGAGGCCGCTGTGATAGTGAGATCTAACGTAATTGTGACACTAAGGAGACGTTTGGCTCATGGATCAGAATTATGAGATTAGAACTATTTTCGATTTACGTGTATTTTTTGTGAGAGAAAATAATGTAACGAACCATGAACCATGATTCGAATCAGGATACGAATCCCCTTACCAAACGTCCCCTAAAATTTTCTGAGTGGGTGTGACGACGGCGAGATCTTACAGCGAAGGTTCGGCGCGTCGAAGTTGAGATCTAGAGCTAGTGGTGCCCGTTATCGGTTCGTGTCCTCTCCAAAGTCATAGCACCTCCTGGCGTCGGCGTCGCAACCATCCCCACAAATCTAGCCAGCTCATCCCCTCCCAAAAAAAAGGGCAAAAAAAAAACCCCCTTTAACCTCCAAAATCTAGACCCGTATGCATTTTCCACATTTTGACCAAATATGGAAATTCATTAAATTTCCACAATTATATTGATTATTTGTTGTCAGAAAAGTAAGTTCATTTCCTCTATACAAATATACCAAAGGAGAACTAACAGGATGAAAAGAGAGTTAACTATTGTGGTGTGCACCTTAAAGCAAGGACTTATGTTAATGTCGCTAATGTTCACCACGGCAGCGCCACGATGGGTAACCATCTAACCCATCCGGCAACGGCAACCCAACATCCCACTCTAATGAGTTTTGTCTTTCCGGTCGATTAATTTTAGTTTTAAATTTTGCTCTTTTTTTTTGTTCTTAAAAGATTAAAAATATGTATTAAATGTTCAATATTGCCCTTGACAAGTGGTGCACGTGAAGGGCATGTTATTATTCCTTTAAATTTTTTTAACACGGTTTTCAATTGGACCGCCCGCCAATGCAATGATTTTAAAAGTCAAGGGGTTAATTGACAAGAATTAAAGTTCAGGGACCAATCTGTCAAATGCGAAATTTTCAGGGGGTCTCATGCAAAAAGACCGAATAAATTTGATGAAAAAGTGGCGGTACACTTAAAAGAAAGAAAAAAGTAATTATATCCGAATAGAGAATAAAAAAGAATTATGAAATAAACCGATACCAACCTTATTCAATGCAGCAAGGCTTATGACCTTAACCCCTAGCCTATCAGCTCTAAGGATGGCGTCCTCTATTTGCTTGTTGATGCCGGCAGTTGCAAATGGCAAGAAATACTGCAAAATAAATAAAAATAAAATAAAAACAAGATATTCTTTAATTAGTTTACCAGATAATATTGTTTAGAGGATAATGCTCGTATTAACAAAATTTCCTTGACATCTTTTGATTGAAGATACTCGTTTCATTTAATAAACGTGTTTACAAAGTATTTTAAGAGAGGTATCATAATTTTGTTAAAAATCCGAACATTTTTCTGATGGTAAGATTTTCATTAATTCAAAAGTAATTTAGCAATATATATATATATATATATATACATCGAGTGCAACTTAGTTGGGATGCGTTATAATATCTTGATACTAGTTGTTCTTTCTCTTATGTTCATAAAAACAGAGAGCAAAAAAAGGAAAAACGACACACCTGAAAGCCAAATCTAGGCACAACCCATGTCTGGTGCAACCTCTTTCTGAGGTTATAAAAGGAAACCACAAAAGCCTTAGACCAAACCCACATCGCTAGCATAATGAGAAAAGCCCCGGGCAAGATGGGCAACAAGAACATCCTCGTGGTGTACGGCAAAGATGCAAAAGATCGGAACACAAACAGAACATGCATAGAAGATGTGAGATCCACAACATGAGCTAGGAACACGAAATCCGGCACCTTGCAATTATTTTTACCTGCATATTTAACGTCGCGTTTTTACTCTATTAATTCTCGTTAGATTGTCAAGTGGTCGTTAGGCTCAGAACTTAGATTGTCAAGTGGTCGTTAGGCTCGGAACGCAAGTACACCACTCATTCTTTTTTTTCTTTTTTTTTTTCATTTATAAAGAAGTCCTTGTTTAGTGGAGGACATGAAATGTAATGTGTTTATGGTGGCTAGAAAAGTTAGAGCTTGTTCTGTATCTCAATTATGGATATTGCCTAAAATTTAGGTAATTTACTACAATGAAGATAACCATTAAATGCTTCGTTTAGTGAAATTGGCAAAATTTTAAGCGCACCTGCGTTTGCATTTATCTTCTCGTGTAACTCCCACGATCTAGAGTTCAATGTTTTACCCACTGCGTCAAAGAGAGGCATGAAGAGGCAGAAATTGGTTTCCAATTCGGTATGGTGTAAACTGTAATATCTGCAAAATACGGTACATATGACAACATAATTATATCCAAGTCAGTTTGTCCTTTTCCTTTACCGGAAAATTTAAAAAAAAAAAAAAAAAAAATCACACAAACACACACAAAAAACAAAAAACACTAAAGTCAGTTTGTCTATCAACAATTAGATTGGTCTTTTTGTTTTTGTTTTTGTTTTTTTAAGGGCAGAGTAGCACTAGATATACTAGTCCAAGTAAGGCATAAATTATCTATAATTAGATTCAACATTCAATCTTAAACTTTTGAAACAAAAAAAAAAAAAACTTAATTACTGAAAAAAAGCAACCACCTTAGTTAATTAATTAGACCACGTTGAAGTGTGAATCAAGTTTATATAAAAATACATGCACAGAAAAAAAAAAAAAAAAAAAAAAAAAAAAAAAAAAAAAAAAAAAAAAAACCACATTAGTTTTTTAGTTTTTTTTTTTTTTTTTTTTGATGAAAACCACCTAATTAGATAAATAGACCATGTCGAAATGTGAATCATGTTTATATCAAAATGCATGCACAGAAAATTAAAGTTTATCTGCTTAAAAAAAAAAACACCGCCTTAATTAATTATTAGACCCCGTTGAAATGATGATGGTGTTCATAAAAATATATACACAGAATTAAACTTTACTTGCTGGGAAAAAAAAAAAGAAGCAACCACCTTAGTTAATGAGGCCACGTTGAAATGTGAAACATGTTTATATAAAAATACATGCACAGAAAATTAAACTCTACCTGCTTAAAGAAAAAAAAAAAAAAAAAAAAAAAAAAAAAACGACCACCACCTTAGTTAATTATTAGACCACGTTGAAGTGTGAATCATCTTCATATAAATACATACAAAGAAAATCGAACTTTTTACTTGATGAAAAAGAACAAGCAACCACCTTAGTTAATTAATTAGATCACGTTGAAGGGTGAATCATGTTTATACAAAATACACACAAAATTAAACTTTAATTGCTGAAAAAATTAAAGGTTGGAGTACTTGTGCTAGGACATGATATCATGATAACTTCCATATATATATATATATATAATACATATACATATATATAAATAATATTATGATGGTTTATAAGAATATAAGCATCGCCCAACTGCCCTTATTATCATTCAAAGAACCACTAATCAAGATAACCATATGCGTAAAGACTCACAAAAGCCATTCTCAATATAGGTAACTTTCAACCTAATTCCGTTTTTTTTTTTAAGGCAGGTTTCAAGTTAGATAATTAAAAACAAACCTGAATTAAGGTACATTTCACAAAACACAAAAAAAAAAACTTCACTTTCTTAAGCAATTAAAATCGGTTTAACCATTCCATAAATTTCGCTAATAAAAAACTTGATGTATGCAATATATTATTTTTAGAATTTAACGTGCCGTGTTGGTAGAAAACATTACTTACGTTGGAGTGTAAAGAAGATATCTGAGGAATGGAATTGCCTCGAAAAGCTTATGTGGAACAACTTCAACATTGCTATGCCCCAAACATCTCAAGAAATCAAAAATTGAAACGTAACCATATATCAACCCGATTGATCCATATCCCAGCAGAGAAGCGCCAATAATTGGTATCCCAATGATAAGACTTAAAAATAGATGCTCCAAGAATGTCGCATTCCCAGCTGCAATAAATAAACAAATAATAAATAAACAACAAACATTCTTCAATAATAATAATAATAATAATAATAACTACTATTATTATTATTATTATTATTATTATAAGCTGCATAGAATTAAAAAAAAAAAAAAAACAGAGAGAGAGAAATTCCAATTTTGCACATTCGATGCTAAATTTTAGTACATTCCCAAATGGTTACTTGATGGTAGGAGAAAATTTAAGTATTGTAGTGGAATGAAAAACGAACCTTAGTTAAGGGTATGAGTGAAATGAATGAATGAATTAATTTTAATATTAATTAAAGTAATTAATTTTTCTTTTTAAAGAATTATTGTGATTTCACCTGTAAAAGGCTGAGGGACTGGAGAAGAATGGTGGAGAGAATGGTAATTGATGAAAAGATGGTCGTTTCTGTGGAAAAATCTGTGAACCCAATAATATAAAGGCTCTGAAACTCCAACATGTAGAATCACAACAGCGATGAGGCCCTTTAGATTCCAGAGCGGAAGATTTTGAAGAGATGGGAAGATGTAGCACCCAGTAAAGGCAAACAGAGCTTGAAGAATTAAGAAATTGTCCCTGCATAAGTTTAAAAGAAATTAAAATTTCAAAAAATTCCCAAAATCAAAATAATAATAATAATAATAATAATAAATCCAATTCATAAAAAATGTGGATTTTTTTTACCAGTTCCATTCTTTGTCAATTTGTTTGAAATCAACTCCTTGTTGAATGACCCTCCTATTTCTTGTTAGGAAAAGCATGTTAGTGTAAGAGGTCCATAGCTGATAAAGGAAACACCTAAACAGATATAGCAGACAAATATGGAGACACCAGCTTTCTTTCTGGGTTTTCTCATCAATTATTGAATGTATACACTTTGCAAACAGAGGTCCAAGCACCAGATACTGCAGATATGTTTAAAAAATAAATTAAAAATAAATTAAAAAAAAAACCCAGATATAATCAGTTCAAGCAAAAGACTATAAACAGAGGAAAAACACAAAAGCAACAAAGAACAATTCATTTCCAAAAAATTGGTAAAAGTTGGGGTTGGTACCTTGTAGATTCCAAAATTCTCCCAAGGCCAAGATGACAAAATGGGAGCAGCCATTTTTCCCCCCTCAAAGACAAAGGCAACAAAATATCCTTGTAGTACCTTTTTTTTCTTTAATACTAATCTTACACCTTTTCTCTTTTTTTTCCCCCTCTTTTTTTTGTATTTGTATGTATCCCCAACTCCTCTAAGATTTCCCTACCCAGAAAACCTGTGTAACGAAATAAAATAGCAAAGTTGAGTTTTCCCAGATGGCCAAAAAGTGAGAGAAGAAAGAGCACGTCCTACATAGAAGGAGCTTCCAAGAGAGAGAGAGAGAGAGAGAGAGAGAGAGAGAGAGAGGGGAGATATTTGAGTGCGTGTTTTTTGAAAGAATTGGATAAATGACATCCCCACGTAAAGAGTTTAGGCATCTACCGCTTAAATAGATCACAGATTTCATCACTCCAGTGTTTCAGCTAATGCAGTTAAAGCTCTTAATTAAAAACTTGTCTTGTAACAATTTCTCTCTAGCCTTTATTATCGTTATTATTTATTAGTATTATAGTTGTTGTCCTTTTCTTTTTTTTTTTTTGACCTTTCATTAGCAAATATAGAAGAATTAATAATGCGTGTCTAAAGACTCAAGTTGGACGGTCGATGGCTCATTATTTATTTTTTATTTATTTTTGGTTTTTTTTGGACGGTTTGAAATTAAGGAAATTTTTTAGTACGCATAGCGTACCAATAAATCAGAGTCGTGTTTGGAATTAATTTCGTTTTTATTTTTCACATTTTTTTTAAAAAATAAAAACGTTTTTAAAACGGCGTTTGGCGACAAAAAAAAAAGATTTTTTAGTTGAGTGTAAAATGAGAGTGAAATGAAAAATGACTTTTAGTCATTTTTCATTTTTTGTTTTCGTTTCTCTTCTCTCGAGCGGAGAGAGAGAGAAAAAGGGATATTAATGAGTTTTTTTACACTGAAAATAATCTTTTAATAAAACTACCAAACGCATTTTCAGAAATGATTTCTGTCTGAGATTGAAAACGTTTTCATTTTCATATTTTCATACAAAAAATAAAATTATTTTAGAATGAGTTTCAAACCGTTCTAAATTTTTTTAATCGTTAAATCTGTATATTTTTTTTAACTTTCGTGTAATTTTATATAAATTTAATAAATAAAAAACTTAACTTACTCATACGTTAACACACCGGATGTCTCAGTTAATCAAAGACATAAAGGCGTGTAAGTGTGTAAGAGTACCTGTTTTTGCCACCAAAACGGCATCTTTCCACAGCTGGATGGAAGCAGCGATGGGCGCCAAAGTCCACCATCCCCGCCCAACATTAATGGCTCTTATGGTTGGGGAGTTGGGAAGAAGGAAGCTCCTTTACGTACTTTTGGCCTTTGGTGAGGTCGGTTTGGTTTCGTGATTCCCCATAATCCGTTTAGTATTTATCCTTTCTTTGCTCGTGTCACTATGCATCCATGATTTTTCCTTTTTTTTTCCTTTTAAATATAAATATGACGTTTTCCATTTTTAAGAAAAAGAAAATAGATACGAAAATCTCCTTTGATTTCCCCTTACACTTTAAAGAATAATTGCACATATTTCCTACGTTTAAAAATAATGTTAAAATTATCCTTGCGTTTTACAAATTGTTTATCCTTGTGTAATAATATTAGTTATTTGTAGTCTATTATTGCTTAAAGCTACAAGTTTGGGCCGGCCTTAATTAATTAGCTTGAAATTTGTTACTGTTAGCCCGGTCTCGGCCTAAACTTCCGAGTCAGATTGGGCCGAGATTTCAGCCTCAAAAACTTATTGGGTAATCTTGATAAATATCTTTTGAAAGTGTATGGATTATGATTTTTATTATTTATTCTTAATTCATAACCTTTTTAGTCAAATAATTACACTAACAAAAGGGTATTTATCAAGAGTAAGAGGTAAAAGTCTAGACTCATACACTCTCAAAGGTAAATTCTCTATTTTTTTAAACTTATTCGGACCGGCTCGACTTTGGCCTGCCCTGCTCTTTTGGTTTTTGCAAGTGAATATTTATAACTTTTTAATTTGATTTTTTAGGGTTTTTTTTATATGAGATATGCTGAGTTTTTATATTTCAAGTCTTCTTTTAGTTTAGTCAGATTAAACAAGGAATATACAACTTTACTTTTGAATGTGATATATTTGAGTCTTTTAATTTTTGGGTTATTTGAAATATGCGAATTTGGTTGTTTAAATTGTGTAATTGGTCATGAATTTAATTGTTGAGGTTATGAATTTTGTTGGGTAGTATTGGATTTGTTACATTTATGTAATTGGTTATTTCAATTTTAATAAATTTGATTTTTCATTTTCTGTTTTTTGTAAAATGTACATGTAAAATTAGCCATTTAGATCTTGTAATTTCACTAAAGTGGTTGTTTAAATTGTGTAATTGGTTGTGAATTTAATTGTTGAGAGTATGAAATTGGGTGATATGAGGTTTGTTATATTTGTGTAATTGATTGTTTTATAAATTATCATAAAATCCAGTTTTTTAGTTTAGATTTAGCAGAAAAAATGTTATAATATATTTGAAATTGGTTAATGAGATTTGTATATATGTCATTTAGGACAAGCCATGGATAGAATGAGCAAAGAATATGATAAAGGGGTCGAATAATGTGTCTTTTTCGAAGGCTAATAATAATGCCCACAAGAATGTGATTCGGTGTACTTCTTGTGTAGATTATAGGAATGCTACAAAACAATCGATTGATGAAGTTGGATTTCATTTATTTCGGCATGGGATGAATCATACTTGTGAAGCATGTATATAGTATGGTGAAGATGTTCCTAGTTTAAAATTGGAGATAGGAGAAAATGGACCTATCATTGAAGAAGATAGATAATATTGTCGTTCGGTGTTATTTGAGATGTTAGATATATTATGTGAACACGCTTGTATACATAGGATGTCAGGATAAGTTTACAAAATTTTTTGCTTTGGTTATATTATTCTACTTCAAGGCGTCGGATGATCGAATAATTCTACTTCAAATCTCTTTTCGAATTTCCAAGAGGGATTCTATTGGAGGATAATATACTATCGGCTAGTATTACAATTAATGCTAAGAAGACTTTGAGAAATGAGGTACAAAATAATACACGTGCATTCAAATAATTGTGTACTTTTTTTGTTTTGTTTTATAAACTGAGGAGAATAGACAACTAAGTTCGTCGAGCCATTCTAATTTCTTACTTTGTTTAGTGGATGTTTAGTTTATAAATTTAAAATCATAATTCAGAATTATTTTCAGTTTACGTGTATTTTTTTGTGAGAGAAAACACTATAACGAATCACGATCCATGATTCAAATCATGGTACGAATTTACCAACTAAACGTAAGATTAGAGACTGGCTGTTCCAGTTTATGTTTATTCCTCCCTATGATCCGGACCAAACGGCTACTTAGTTTAAAGCATGTAAAATATAATTATTTTGTCGCAAAGCCCTATAACGAAAGCAACCGGACAAATTTTTGGAGCAAAAGGTTGAAGTATTGACGAATTTGTTACATGAGCTCTTCTTAAAATACTATTGTTTTTTTTTCTCATAAACTTATATTATCATTTTATTATCCTTTTAACCATTTACGTTTTCCTTAAGCTAATATTATCCTTTTTAGTTTTTAAATTTATAGTATAGTTCATGTTGAAATACTTTGTTTCAAATATATTTTAGTTAAATACTTTTAACAAATTTATAGATATTATTTTATTAGATGGGGTTTTTATAAGTGCACTTTCTAAATTTTCTCCACTTCAATTATTTTTCTCATTGGATTTTTACTTACAAAATTTTTTTCCTTTTCATATATATTCACTAATAATTACTATATATACTATTTAAATTTCTAATATTTTTAAATTTGTCTATACATGTAATTTTTACTAAAATACACTTTTTAATTAGAACATACATTTTGTCATAGTTACTACTTTTAAAAATTCATACTTTTAAATGTGCCTCTTTAAAATAATCTTTTTTATATCATATATCAAAATAATTTTTTTCTCAAGTATATTGCCTACATGAAATATAAACATTATTTCTTGTAGTCTTTTAAAATATCATTTTTTTTTCAAATGTGGCTGTTCCCGTTCACTTCGCTGATTCGAGTTTGTAATTCGAGTTAAGATGTGATTTTGTGTGAGAGCTTTTTACTATAGCAAAAAAGTTAAATGTGACTGTTTCTGAGAGTTTTTTACTGTAGCAAAACTCAAATTCTAAACTCGAATCGGCGAAATGAACATGACTTATCTTATTTAACGTGAAAATGAGCTAAATCGTACATGTATTAAACCAATTCAACAAATTATTTACAAATTTTGTCTACTTATTTATCGTGTAGTGCTTTTCTTCCGTTGAGATCATTATGAGAGAGGGCTTGTGTCGGGGTTTGTTTCGACACTGTTTTGTCAGGTTTTTTTTTTTTTTTTTTTTTTTTTTTTTTTGGGTACTATTTCATCTTCTGCTTTGTCGTCTACTTCTTTCCCATGTAATCTTGTATTTTCAAATGTATTTTAATAATACATTTTTAAAATTTATGCCCATTGAAATACTTTTCTTAAACATATCTTCACTTAAATATCTTTTTCTTGAATCTAAAACTTTATTTTATACACATTGTAGTTTTTATAAATACCTTTCATTTTCTAATATTTTCACTAAAATAATTCATAAAAAATGTGGACCTACTTCATTTTCTTTTCACTTTTTATATGTATTCTCTTATTAGTTTCCTATTTAATTTCTTTTGAAAAAAAGTTATTTTTGTTCTTTAATTAAGTACGCTTATTTATCTATAAATATATGATATTCTACTGAAACATATGTATTGAATAAAACATGTATTTTGATATATCTGCTTTCTATTGAAATTGAATATTTTTAATTATGTCCCAATTTTTCTATAATATTCATTATTGAAATAAATTTTCTCTGTCTCACGCCTAAATATAATTCTAAGTGGTAGTATAATACAATTTTCAAATTTGACTCTTATAAATACTCTTTTTTTAAGGAGGCCCTTATAAATACTTATTATCTTTCTTAACGTCTTTCCCGTAGCCCACTCAAATTCTATTTTCTCATATGAACTGCTAAGTAATTTTCAATCAAATTTTCCTTTGTAAATAAAATCTTATATAATAACTACAAAATTTACTACTGTCAATATTATTTTGGAAATTTAGAATTTCAGTTTTTTTATTTTTTTGTTGCTTAATTTTAATTACTTTAAATTTTCTAGAATTTTTTTTGGTTGATTCTTAGTAAATTAATGTTTGAAACAATACTTATACATATTACCAAGAGTAGTGTCCGTTTAAAATACATGATCAAAGGGTTATTTCTGT